AGGTAGCCTGCATGAAGGCTCATGACTCCTGGTTCAATGCCCAGGGGCTCCCCACTCCCACCCCTGGGAGGCTAGTCTCCTCTATCCCTCCCTCTGGATCCTTTGACCCAGCATGCTTTCCTTGGAAGCATTAAATCTGACAGATTGGGTGTGTGTGCATTGCACTGCCCTGGCCATCATTCTGTGCTCACCAACTAACTCCTGAGCACTTTGATCCCCACGGGAGTTTCCTGGTGAGGGAAGTACTGATGCATGCCTGGAAGTGATAAGCTGGCAGTCTGAGCCACACTGTGACCTGAGCCATCTGTTTACTGGGTGTCTCAGCGTGCACTGGCAAGCCCAGTGTCCACATCTGCAAAGGAAAAAGCGACAGAAGCCTCCCCTTTGGGGCTAGGAAATAGGACTCAAAGCCTCCCTGGCCCTGGTGCCCCTGGAGAGCCCTATCTCAAAAAAGGATTTGACTTTGTAAAGTGGGGACCCTACAGACAGATCCTCCCATCTACACCATTTTCCATTACTTTTAAATACAAAGGCACCTTCAAAGACCACCAACAGTGTGTATGGTGGTGGGGATTCAGCACATAGAAATGCTTAGGAAAGATATCTAGTTCCTGGTTAGTTCGCTGCTTCAACTACACCCAGTTCTTAGGCCCCACCACCATCTTCAGAAACTGGATGCCACAGGAGCCAGGCTGGGCAACACAGGCCATTCTTTAAGAAACAAAAAGGCAGGGTGAGGATATAGCTCAGCGGCATAAGCACCTGCCCTGTAAGCGCAAGGTCCTGAGTTTGATCCCCAGTACTCAAAAAAAAGAAAGAAAAAGGCAAACATCACACCTGTAGCCTCACAAAAGCCCAGGAAGGAGGGTGAGGAAGCAAACACAGGGCAGGGTAGAGGAGCCCCATGTGGTTCCCAGACATGACAGAATGCAGAGTGCAGAGAACAAGGCCCGTGTTGTAATCGGGCACTTGCAGAGAGGGAGGAATGCAGGGCTGGGGCTCAAGACAAAAGATGCACAGGGCAGGAGGGAAGGGGAAAGGGAGAAGACCTGGAGAAGGCAGGCATGGGGAAGGGTGGGAGAGGCACGGGGGCTGGTGTGCTGCTCTCTCTCACAAGTGGAAAGGTGGAGAGGTCAGAAGACAAGGCACAGGTGGCTGGGAGGGTTAGTCATTGGGGCACCAATCTGCTCTGAGACTGCCCTGTGAACTCCTCCTGGCAGGCTCCATCACCACCTCTGGGACTTTTCCGGAGGCCAGTGTCGGATCTCTTCAGACTAAAGCTCTGCACACGCTGGGCTGCCTCTCCAGTCTAAAGTTTCTGGGGTCAGAGACAAGTGGACTTTGAAGCTCCTGGGAAGCTGGACGGTCTAAATCACAGACTAGGCTAGTGGTGTAGGCCTGTAATCTCAACTACATGAGAGGCTAAGGCAGGAGGGTCATAATTTCAAGGCCAGCCTGGTCAGCTAAGGACATCCTGTCTCAAAGAAAAGAGCTGTACTATAGCTCAGTGGCAGAGTATTTTCCTAGTGTGCATGAGGCCCTGAGTTAAATCTCCAGCCCCACAAACAAAAAAGAAAAGATCCCAGTCTGTTAGGACCCATACTGGACAGGATAGTTCACTACACTCTTTATACTTGACATCTCATGGGGTGTTCACAACACCCAAAGGGAGACGTTCCCCACTGGACTGAACACAGGCGTCTGACACCCAGTCCATCAGTTAGCGAATCTTACCAGCCAGCCCTCACTTTAGGGACCAGATGTGGAACAGTGAGAAAGGAACAAAGTCCTGGCTCCCATGGAGCTTCAGGCGTTCAGAGAGGGAAAGAAAAACTCCAGAGGCAAATGGAAAAGTTCACGTAGTGATCAAGAATATATGGCGGTGGGCTGGGATATTGCTCAGTGGTACAGCACTTGCCTAGCATGTGCGAGGGCTTGGGTTCTATCCTCAGCACCACAAAGAAAAGAATATACAAAGGTATTAGAGAATGGCAAGCTGTGAGTGTGGGCACTATTCTGGCTGGAGAAGTCCTAGAGGCCTGCAAAGAGGGCTGGCAGACCCCCACAAAAGGCCTGTCATGCAGACAGCAATCAGAGCTGTCGGCCAGGGCCTGAGCAGGTAGGTGCTGTTGGACCCCCAAGGGGCAGGGGTAGCTATGGGCAGCTTCAAGCAGAGGACTGGGCAGGGGACAGGTCCTTCTAGCTTTGTGGGTCTTGGGGACAGCAGACATGAAGACACCAGAAGGAATAGCGGTGGTGAGTACACAGTAATGGACTGATCAATTCTTGCACTTATTTGATTAGTATTTACTGAGCACCTACTGTGTAGCTACCTGTGTCACAAGCAGTGAACATGGCAAGTCCTTGAGCTCTTGGAGCTGTCAAATAAAAATTATAGACCCAAGCACACTGGTACATGACTATAGTCCCAGCTACTTCGTAGGCTGAGGCAGTATTATCTGACCTGAGAGTTTCAGACCAGCGTTGGCATCATAACAAGATCCTGTCTCAAAAGGATAAATAAATAAATAAATAAATAAATAAATAAATAAATAAATAAATAAATAAATAACAACAAGAAATTACAAGAGGTTGCTGTTTTGGATTAAGCTCCTGCACTAGGTCCCAAAAGACCAGGCTAAAAACCAAAATGAAGTTACTCATGCTAAAGTTCTACATCACTTATACTGAAGTAAAGCTGTTTATCTGACCTTCCAAGAAATAAAGATTAAAAGAAATAACAACCAAGTTGACCGAACAAGCAATTTCAGTTGGCATAGTAACGAAGTTCCCTCTGCCTTAATTCTTTCACGGAAAAGAAAACCTGAAGTAGCCTGATGGTAACCAATTAGTTACCCTTCTAGTATTCTGTCTCTCTGTCCCCACCATACAAGCAAAGAAACTTTTGGGTTTTTTTGGTTTGTTTGTTTCTGATTTCTTCAGGCCTTTTTCTGTCCATAAAACAAACCTCTGCCAAGTTCACTGGAATGTGTGTTCTGTTTTACAGGAGGGGTGTTCTATTTTATGGAAAGGAGTTGCCCAATGCCAGACAGGAAAATAAAGCCAGTTAAGATCATGAAGCTACCATGTTTCCGTTCTTTGACAGAGCTTACCCTGTGGAGGCACAGGGATGTGAGGTGATAAGGGGGCAAGGGAAGGTGTGTGATGGGGCCACTTCCTCCCTTTATGCCACCTCTCCTTCCCCAAGTAAGGCGTTTAAGTAGGAGTGGGGCAAGGACAGGTATTGAACCTGTCACACTGTTTGGAGAACAGGCAGAGAAATCCAAGAAAGGCAGGTTCTGCGCTGTGCCAGAGCCTACCACTCATGCCTGTGCTGTTTCTGGCTCTAACATACGGACAGTGACCCTGTCTATCACCCACCCCTGGTACCTGGCCGTGAGCCCCATTACATGGAGACTCCTGCTTCTCAGCACACTCACATGGTGAGCGCTTTGCCTCTTTCACTGTCCCCAGGCGGGGGGAGGACATGAAGGGAACCTGTGGATGCCACCTTTCTTGGCTTTGCTCCAGTGTCCACGCCAAGGGTCTTAGGATTTCAGCAGACTCCAGGCCCTGTGCTGGGCCTTCTTGGGGCAGCAATGATGGAAACTTGCTAGTCACTTCCTCATTACTCCTAGGTCATTTCTGCTTCTGTCGTCATCCTGCTGACAAGACATGTTGTTCTAACTTCTACTGATTCAAGAATTTCAAACTATTCTTACTAAGTACAACAGGCAAGCTATTCCCAAGCAGGGCAGACTACACATGAAATCCTCCCATAAGGCACTGGCTGGGTACGGATACCCAACCTGACAGTTCCTTCGGATTTGTGTCTGGGCGCTGGCCTCCTAGTCAGGTGAAATGATATAACCTGGAAGGAAGGTCCTACCCACAGAGCATTGTAGGGCACTGTGAAAGAGGACCCCTAATAGGGCTACCTCTGCCTTTCCCATGTGAGTCCCTCCCCTGGGACCCAGGGCTGCCCAGGTTTCTGGAAGCCTGGACTGATGAGAAGGTGGAAAGTCCCAGGGCAGAGGCTGGGCTGCCTAGGCCTGGTCAGCTGCCTTCGCCTCAGCTCAGTGGTTTTCAAAGCCTGGCTTCAGAGCAGCATCAACATCACCAGAGGTCTCATCCCAGACCCATGGAGTCAGAAACTCTGGGGAGGAGCCCAGCAAACAATGTTTGAACAAGTCCCCCTGGTGACGCTGATGCAGAATGGTGACTAGAACTCAGGCGTGGGCCAGAGTTAAGGCCCTCGTGCCCCTGGACCTCCCACACTCCACTGGCCAGGCCCAGGACTGGCTAGGGGATATGCAAAGTCTCTCCACCAGTAATGTAATCCCAGGGACATCTAAGTGAAGATGGATCTGTAACTTCCTCATCTCTCTCTCTCTCTCTCTCTCATGAAGAGAGTAAATGCAGTCACTTTGAATGTCCTTCAGTAAAGTCACAAGGGAGCTGCCTACCTGAGTGAGTGGGACCATTTACTTTTTTCAATTTAAGGATCTTGCAGTTACCTTAAGCAGGAACTCTACCCACCACACACTCCCCCACAGCTGACAAGGACAGTGCAGTGGAGAAGCCAACTGGAATCTGCTGTCCCAACCTCAATTCTTTGAGGGAAAGGGAGTGTCTTGGCCTACCTGCTGCCCCACACTGGGGATAGAACCCCAGGTTTTGTGCAAGGAGTCCGCCATCGAGCTACACCTCCAGTCTCATATTTGCGTTTTGGGGAGGTGGTTACATCCCCCAGAAGGTTCTACACCCTTCACACTTACCAGCCACCTTTCAAGAGCCTGACCTATCCCATGTATTATCTCACTGATTAACCGAGGCCATCATGTTAAGCAAGCAGCCCAAGGTCACACAGCAGGTGGTGAAGGCAAAGGCCGCCCCTAATCGCCTCCCTTTGGACCCTCCGGCCTCCTCCAGTCTCTCGACCTGGTCAGCTCAGGCTGGAACTAAATCCTTGCCCTCGGCAGTCCCAGCCCTCGAGGAATCTGCTTCTCAGGCGAGGCCATGCTCCGGGGATCCAGGAAGTCACCCGGGTCCTCCTCCCTGGGGCCCAGCGGATCGCGCCCCCTGCGGGGGGCTCTGCCCTGCTCTCCCAGGCGTGGAGGCTGCCCCCGGGATCTGTTCTCGGCAGCCCTCGCTAACTCAGCGTCACCTGGGCGGCGGGGTGCACGGCCGCCGGGCCCGCCCGGTGAACTGCGCGGCTGCGAGTCCCCGCCCTCGCTGCGCAGCGGGCAGAGGTCCGGGCGGGCGTTTGCGCCGCAGCCGAGCGGGAGACGGAGCGCAGAATGACAGCCATCGCGGTGCAGGTAGCCGGTGCCGGGGTCGAGCTGGGGGTGCCGGCCGCGGGGAGAGGGAAGGAAGGGGAAAAGGGGAGGGGAGGAACCCTCATCCACGCCAGCCCCGGGCTGCCGCGAGCCCGCCTGCCCAGCGCCCTGCAAACCCGCCGGGTCTGGAACGGCTCCGCGGGAGGTGATCTGGGGTGGCTCTCCCCTAGCACTGTTTCCCGCCACCACCACCCCGCCCCCCGGCTTCTGCGTCTCCCAAACATCCCTGGGGAGAGTTTCCTGCCTTCCTTGGGGCCACCTGCGACCTGTCACTTGGGTTCAGCAAAGGGGTCCCGCCTAAAAATATGCATCTGGGGCTGGAGAGAGAGGACAGAATGGACTTGGAAAGTTAGACGACTTATGTAACAGGCAGGACGCGGCTTAGGAAGCTGGAACTTCGGCGGGCGGGTCCTAGAAAGACCACCTCCCCTAGAATCGAGGGCGCGGTGCGGGGCGCTGGCGGACTCGCCAGGGGCCGCACGCCCCAAAGAAGCTCCAACGAAAGCAGGGGCCCTGCCCCGCAGAGTTGGTTTCCTTAGAGCAGTGCAAGATGTTCATGTTGCCTAAGGACCTACACATTCCTGCCAATCCAAAGGGAAGTCCCCGGGGGCAGGCAGACGCCGTGTGCGAGCCTCACTAGACTGTCCTGTCCTGATGCTCACGAGACGACTGCCTTCAAGAGCTGGGTCCCTCGGACCCTGATAATTTACGTACTGTTCTGCTCGTTTTATTATAATAATTCAGACAAAGTTTTGCTCTGTTGCTCAGGCTAATCTACTGGGCGCAAGTGATCCTCTTGCCTCTACCTCCGGAGCAGCTGGGATTATAAGGAGATCCAGTTGCCTTGACTGTGCCCATTTTGCAGATGAGAAACTGAGGCTCAGAAGTAACCTGCCCACGGTGCCTAGCTAAATGACAGAATCAAGATAATCCAGGACTCCCTGCCTCCAAATCCTGGTTGCCCCTTCTTAGAAATGACATCCACAGCTACCCGCAACCTCCTTTTAACCAGAACCCAGCTGCTTAACGGTTACAGGGGATAGGATTCGGTGAATCCTCTTTGTTCTGAGGCTTAGGCGGCATCACCTCCAGTGACAGGCCTCGGGAAGAAAGGGACAGGTGGTGAGGAGGGTGGGATCAGGTGTGGTCTTCCCCGGAGGAGTTTATGATCTGGCTAAGGAGGCAGAAAGAGGTAAACAAGGAATGGAATGGGGGAAGTAAGTGCTAAATTAAGATGTGCAAAGGCCTTGGGTAGGATTAACTTCAGCAGGGCAGGAGAAAGAGGAGCACTGGGAGTGGGGCTAAGGAGGGCAAGGAGGAATGAACTGGGTGAGAAGAGCTAAGCTGCCTGCTGAGGGTGTGGAGCTGTCTGTGGAAGCCAAGCAGCTCTGCTCTGAGCCGGGGGAGACCACAGAGGCGCAGTGAGGGTGGTGTGCTGGGCCCACGCTTAGGAACACTTAGCCAATAGCTTCATCCCCACACATAACCTTATGAAGGAAGTACCACTGTCTCCATTCACAGGCGAGTGAGCAGGGCAGGATGAAGGACAGCTAAGAGCAAGCTCTAGGTCATGCCGGTGGGTGGGCGGACCCAGGCTGAAAGCCGAGGTGCGGATGACTCACTTGTGGAAGACGTCCCAGAATGTTGGTGGCGATGATGGTCTGACCTAGGCCTGGTCAGAGTGGATGTTGAGGGACAGCACCTGCGGGGGCTGTGCTGGGGAGAGGGGAATAAGTAAGAGCCCAGAGTATTTACCTGGGGCTGCTCTTGGTTGAGGGGAACATGCGAGGCCCTGAGTTTCGGGGAAAGACGTGAACATGGCATTGCACCTAGCAGTCCTGTAGTGTCGGGGATCCTTGTTTTACAGGTCACCGGAACTCACTCAAGGTCATAGTTGAAAAAGGGAAACTTTTCTTTTTAAATCTATGGAAGAAGTCACAGCCCTGAGATTGATGAGATAGTCCTCATGCCAGAGTTGGGGCCCCAGGCTAGAGACTGCCATCCTCCACCGCTCCCTGACTCCTTCCTGTCCTTCCCCTGAGCTGCTGCCACCAAGCTGCCCCCAGGAGGGGCTTTCAGGCCCTGCGTCACTGAGAGCTGATGGAGGTATTCACAGCTTGGGCATGAGGGGCCAAGTGCTTTGGAATGAAGACTCCAGTGGGTACAGTTGTTACTAATATTAATCACTCTCCCAAATTGAAAGCTGCCTATGTGCCATGTGTCTTTGTACACAATCTCATTTCATCTTTGGGAGTTTTATTGATGGTCAGAGTTTAAATAAAGCCCTCTCTGGAGGCAGGAAGGGGAGAGATGAGTTGAGATTAGTTGTTTTCTCTTTGTGATCCCAGGGTGATGTCTTATGGCCTAGAGATTAAAGTCCAGTCTGGGCCCGGGACAGGCGGGGCTGAGGGCACAGGACGTGCCTGTTTTCCAGTGTGGTGTCTAGGGTCAAAAGGTTTATAGGTCCTGTGGTCTTGTGACTTGTTCTCTGCAACTGGGGCTTTTCCATTTCCAACCAAGGGATATTGTAACCTTCTTCAGGGTGACTGCTTTCCTACAGGCGTCACCAACTCCTGTTGATAGAGGAGAAACTAAGGGCCCAAGAGGTAAGCAACTCCCCTCTCTTGGTTGGTGCTGGAGACCTACAGGCACAATGTTCAAAGTTTCCTTGGGTGTGTTTCTTACCTGTAGATCCTGTCTTTTTTTCCTAATGAAAAGCAGCATGGGCTCCTAGACCCCACTTTTTTAGTTGAAGCAAGGAAGGGCACCCAGAGCCAGGCTGCTCAGCTTTCCCTGCTACCCACTATGGTGCCTACAGCCCCTCCAGGAACCCAGGGCACACATTTGAGAACCATAGCCCACACTCCTACCTGGGTGCTCTTTGCAGCACCCCAGGATCTGACTGGAGGTGTAGGCCTGGTTCTGGCATGGCCTTGGGCATTCCTATATACTCATACCCCCTCCCTCAACAGTGGCACTGAGCCCCTAGCACCAAGGCCCTATACTTAGAAGGTCCCAGTGGGTAGTCCTTAGCTGAGTAGATGCCACCTCTGGTACATGGTCTTTATCATTTTGCTTGTTGCTGAGACATAATGCCTGTTATGGCTGTGTCTGGATGTCCCCCAAAGCCTCACGCACTCATAGGTAGTGCTTTGCAGAAGTGACTAGATCTAGAGTGTGTGATGCTAGCAGTAAGGGTAGTTGATTACTAAATCAGTCCACTGTTTGGTTTGGCACCATCCTAATCCCAGAAGCCTAGATACAGTATAAAAGGGGCAGAAAGATGCTGTTAAAGTCCTTTGTTGCTTTGCTACATCTGCCTGCCGTGAACTGTTCTCTTCTGCAAAGCCACCTTGCTCTGGCGCTAGCCGATTATGGACTGAAACCTCTATAGGCTGTGAGCTAAATAAACCTTTCTTCTCTTAACTTTGGGCATCAGGCATTTTGTCTCAGCAAGGAGAAAGTACCTAAGACATTACCCAACACCCACAACTTAAAGGAGGATAGGTTTATTTGGCTCATATTTTCAACCCATGGCCAGCTGGCTCCGTGCAGAAATTGCATGGCTGAAGGGCACAGGTAGAACATAGCTGCTCATCCCATGGCAGCCTGGAAGCAGAAAGCAAAGAGGATCTGGCGAGGGAGATACACCCTTGCAGGTCACACTCCCAGTGGGCTGCCTCTAAGGAGGCCCCACTTCTCAGCAGCACACCCAGCTGCTAAGCTTAGCGGGTAAAGCCTCTGATGGGAATAGCACCTCTAGGATCCAGTCATTTTCAAAAGCCCTACCTCCGAGCACATGAGAGTTTGGGGGGGACATCTAGATCTAAACGATAGCACACAGTGTGCAGTTGTCTGGAGAGCTATAACCAGCATTACTGGAAATCAGGTGTGATGTTGGGCAAGTCACCTGCCATGTGCATGACATAGTTTCGCTCTTTACAAACCCTCCAAGGAGCTCCCTCCTCTACCAACCTCATAGGTTTAAGAAGAAAATTGGTTGCTACCTAGGCAGATATGCTGACAGCAAATATTATCCTTATTCCTATATCCCTGGTTGAACTGAGGCACCTTCTGTACAAGGACACCCTAATGGACAACTTTGCGAGGGCCCTGACCATGTGTCTTGCATGGAGAGGTGTGGTCCACACTTGCTCCTGAAGTGTCCATCATACATGGAATAAGGTGCATCCCAGGGGCTCCTTCCTCCTGGTTTCCTAGTAGTGACTATATGTGGGCTATATGCTTTGCTTACTTCCCAAAGCAAGGGGAAAACCTGCTTCCATAACACTGCTAAAGGTGTTTTAACTTAAAACAGGGCAGAACTGGGTTAAAGGGAGCTCCATATGGAAGTGACCCTTCACTAACCCGTGGGTCTTCCTGAAGCATGTACTGAATGCACAGGTCAGACACTGTGCCAGGTACCAGGGACACAATAGTATTTTGACATGAGGGCCTTGCACTCTGGAGGACAGTATTCAAGTGAGACAGATAAAATGTCACTTCAAAACAGATAAGAATGATAAAGAAAGTAAACAGGGTGCCTGACAGAGAATGTCAGCAGAGACTGCATTATGTTGGGTGGATGTGAAGGACCTCTGCAAGAGGTGACTTTGCATGGTGGGTGCATGCCTGTAATTCCAGCACTCTGGGAAGCTGAGGCAAGAGAACCACAAGTTTGAATCTGGGCAACTTAGTAACTTAGAAAGACCCTGTTTTAACATAGTATGTAATTTAGTGGGATGGTATTGGACTCAATCCCTAGTACCATAAAGAATAAGCAGTCTCAAAGGATGGCGAAAAGGAGTTGTCCTTAAGAGGTGGGGCAGTTGCAGAAGAACCTGTTGGGCAGAGGGGCCAGGAGGTCTTTAGGCACAGAAATAGGGCAGCCATGGTGCCTGAACATGGTGGGGAGGGGGAGTAAACTGGGAAGAGAAGTAGGAGAGGATGCAGGTGGATTGCGTAGGGCTTGCTGTTGTGGTAAGCACTTTTATTCTGTGTAGCATTTCTTACTTTGGCTTTGTGCGTCAGGGGTTGGGAGCCATGCCAGATGAGGCAGGAGATACTGTACTGTGGTATCTCCCAGCTCTCAGGCTAGGAGACCAAGCAGGTGGGGATGCTCCCCTCCAATACGGAGACCAGTGGGTTCTTCGTGTCTAGAAGCTGCTAAAAGGCGCACTTTGGTTGGCCAGCTCTGGGTGGTGGACAGGCTGAGTCAGGCTGAAGGGCAAGGTGCAGACAATCACTTTCAGGACTCGGGGAAACAAGATAATAACATGGAGCCCTGGACCAAATACAGAAAGTGCAACACCAAGTGGGTGTGGGTTAGGATAAAAGTAATGCGCACTGGACAAGAAAACATAATCTTATGTATGGACGTGCTACAGTCTCACTGCTTTGTACAATACAAAGTTCTCATTTTGTGTACAAAGAAACTGAGGCAGGCTGCATGCTCAAGGTCACATAAGCCAGGCAAGACATGTCTTCTGAGTGAAGAATGGCACAGGGTTTGTGGGTCTATTTGGAATTTTCACCCATTGTTGAGATCATAAAGGGAAGGGAATAATTAGGGTCTGGCTGAATTCTGGACAGCCAGTTCTTACAGGTCTAGATGGACAGTAGAAAGGAGAAAGCTCCTAATGAAGGTAGGTCTATGCTGTGGAAGCTAAGGGGCTATGGGGGGTTCCAGGCTTTCTGTGAGACCCAAGCAAAGAACAAGCCTTTTAGGATCTGTGAGGCATGTTTGGATTCTTCCCTGGAGAGTTCAAGGAGTTTGTGGGTTGGGGCCCTCACTGACATTGCTTCCTTTGGTGTCTTCTAGGCCCAGAGGCTGTTGAGCCAGAGGAGGCCCCGCCGGTCCTTCTTTGAGTCCTTCATCAGGACCCTTATCATCGTGTGTAGTGCCCTGGCCGTGGTCCTCTCTTCCATCTCCATCTGCGATGGGTATTGGCTTCTGGATGAGGACCGCCTCTTTGGGCTATGGCACTTCTGCACCATCACCAACCAGAGCAAGCCACACTGCCTCCGAGACCTGAGCCAGACCCACGTGCCTGGGCTCGCGGTGGGCATGGGCCTGGCCCGCAGTGTGGGTGCCATGGCTGTGGTGGCCGCCATCTTTGGCCTGGAGCTTCTCATGGTATCCCAGGTGTGTGAGAACATCTACTCTCGGCGCAAGTGGGCCATCGGTTCCTGCCTCCTCCTGGTCTCCTTCATCCTCTCCTCTGTGGGACTCCTGAGTTTTGTGATCCTCCTCAGGAATCGGGTCACACTCATCGGCTTCACCTTGATGTTTTGGTGTGAATTTACCGCCTCGTTCCTCTTCTTCCTGAATGCTGTCAGTGGCCTTCATATCAACAGCATTACCCAGCCCTGGAACCAACTAGGGGAATTCTAGGGCCCTCTCTGGAGACCTCTGTTTCTACAAGAAAGTGTGAGCAAGATGAGACTTTTCCAACATGTGACTTTTGATGGGAATGGGGTGGTACTATGACCTTGAAGCTGCTGCCTTTTAGCCAGTAAGCTCTGGGTTGTCTGCCAGAAATGGCCTGGGGTCCTCTACAACTGGTGGCCAGGGGCAGAAGACAGGAGTGTGCCTCTGTACCAGCAGCTGCACAGGTTTGGCTAAGCTATTAGGGTGTTGATTTCAAAAGAAAGAAAGTATTACCACTCTCTCCTTGAGTTTCTTCTCTGGATTGGGATCAATTTAGAAGTAAATCCTGTAACTCGTCCGTAGGCTGGCTATTGAGATAAGTACTGTTCACACCTATTTTATTGACTGTGTACAGCGGGTCTTTGGGGCTCCTGAAGTTGCTAAGAATGGATCTGGATTGTTTTTCTATGTTAAGGGACCGGTCGGTACCTAGCATTTTTTTCTACCAGCTTAAGGAATCTTTGCACACATTTCCCTGACTCTTGCAGAAATCTTTTAGAATGTCTTACATATAATAGGTTTTCAAACCATTTGACTTGATTTCTCCCCTGCCCTTTTGGGGTATTTCACAAACCCCAGGTACCCCAGCTTCTAGCAGTGGGCTGTCTGTTGGGGCCCTGGCTGTCAGAGCATTTCCTTGAGCAGGGGCCCTCCAAGGGGCACCCTGCTTACTTCCAACACGATCCCCTCGGAGGCCAGTGTGCATGTGTGCCAGTTTGAGAGTGTAGCTTTTATAAGATCATTTGGCCTCGGGGCACCATTTTTGATCCTAGAACCATTTTAAAAAGCACATAGTTGGACCTGATGGACTCCTCAGGGGGTGCAAGTCCTTGGGTAATGATTAACTATCATCCTGGGGATGAGTGGAGACCAAGGGGGTTAAGAACCAGTGGAGATTTCCATCCTTGTGGGCAGATCTGCATTTTCATCACCTTGTCTCCTGTCTAGTAGTTTCTCTGCCTAGAAAAGGTGAAGATTTTGACCATTTTATTCTAACACCCCAACTGGTAAATTCTGGCTTCCACTTACTACACAGGGCTTTGGTCTCTGCCCTATCCTTGTCATTGCAGGTCCCTTCTTGTGCTGGGCATCTGTATCTACCTACCTTTATGGTGATTCTTACTATTTTTCTTTCCTTGAGATGAGGTCTCCCTCTGTTGCCCAGGCTTGTCTTGAACTCCTGGGCTCAAGTGACCCTCTCATCTCATCCTCGTCAAGTTTAGGTATGTGCCACCTTGTCTAGCTCCTCTATGGTGATTTTTAAAAAATCTTTATTCCAAGATGCAGAGTCACAAGGGTATGAATGCAAGGTCAAACCAGGATGTAGGGAGCCCATGGAGATCACCTGAAACGTTTGCTGCTATTGCTGCTGTTGTTTATGGTGCTGGGGACCAACCAGGACATGCTAAGCATGTGCTCTACCATTAAGCCTCATCCCTAGCCCCACCTGAGAGTTTCTGTGGGCTGCTTGGATTTGCAGAAAGCAGAGCTCATCACCCACACGGGCGGGAACTCACCTGGGAAGCGGGAATCTGCGGCAGTCTGTAAGGTGCAAGAGGACACCCACCTTGTCTGCAGGGAAAAGAGGAATAAAGTGGAGCTGCCCACCCTCCAGCAAGATGCTTCTTGCTCTGTACTGCACTGTCTCTGCTTCTCTCCAGAATGCTTCCCTGTGAGCACCAGTAGCTTTTGTTTTGTAAAAGGATATATCTTACAGTTTCCCATGGGGGTAGGGACTGCAGGTATTTAAGAGGACTGAGAGCCAGAGTGAAGGCTGAGACCAAAGGCCCCAGGAGCTTAGTGAGGCAGGGAGACGGGCCCTGGTCCACTCTTGTGTTGCAGGGGCGGCTCAGACATGACCTTGGAGCTCATGCATTTGAAGTAAAAGCCCTAGATGAATGGCCACCTCCTTGCTGGGTAGCCTAGACAAGTCATGATGCCTTGGTGAGTCTGTGCCAATCTGTAAAGTGGGATTGGCTGCACTTTCTGCTGTGCCACCCCCAGCCCTGCCCACCTTATGTGCCTCACACCGTGTTAAGGACACTAACGGGTGGGGATCCTGGGTCTCTCCTTCAGCTTCATCAGATACATTGAGCTGTTGTCCTGAACGCTGTGGGGAGAAAGGTGAGTTGCAGTAGGGGAGTTCTTGTGTTTTCTGAGCAGCTAAGCTTGTCCCTGAAAATGAGCTGGGATTCAGGGAAGGCCCTTTTCCCTGCAGGAAGGGACCAGGGAGTGCGCCACAGCATACTCCCTTCCCTTGAGTTTCAGGGTGAAAAGCCTGACAAATGCACACCAAGTCTCTTCTTGGGTACCATTTATTTCCCTGCCCCTTCTTGGGCTCCTGAGCTGCTCTTCCCAGAAGAGCAACACAGACCAAGTTCCAGGCCTCAGTCCTGTCCCACGGTGCTCCAGGTCCCTTCTGCCCAGTGCTGAGGACTCCCACACCTCAGGGGGCATTGTTATCAGCTATAGTGGGGAACATGGGACATCTTCCAGGTCCTGCAGCAGTGTCCAGCCCTCTTCACACCTGGTTCAGCTTCTGTCCATGAGCAGCCCTGCTCCAGCCTCTCAGATGATGCTGGCCCTGGAGGTGCCCCGGCTCTGCTCTGCAGGGCTGGCTTTGCTGTTGGCCTTGGTGCTATGGGTGGGGTTACTGGTGCCATTGCTGAAGGAGTTGTTGAGGGCCATGGGGCACAGCGGGAACTCCTGGAGGTGCCATTGTCGCCATTTCTTCTGAACTTCCAGCTGCACCTGCCCGAGACCACCCATCAGCTGGGCAGGGAGGGTCAGCCAGTGCCGGAACCCGGGTCTCACCCCGTCACACACATAACCTGAGCCCCCATGCAGGCTCTGCCACTCCTGCCCAGATGGTACTTCTGCCCCCTCCCTCACCTGCAGGCCACTCCAGCTGACCACCACAGCCCCTTCTACTCTGGACACTCGCACGTGCCATCTCATTATCGTGTCCCCAGGAAAGGACCTGTGGTTTGTATCCCCAGCTGTAAAACTCAAATGTCCAGATGTGCCCTGAGATAACTGGACACTCCTTCCCACACAGCCAGCCCAGCTCAGAAGCCATCCAGAGCCATGGAGTTGCTTCGTGGACATCTCCTTTACTATCTCCACCTCAAAGGAGCAGCCAGACTTCTGAGGCCAGGCTTGATGCTCGATTTTTGGAAAACACCAGAGGCCACAACCCTTCTGGTATGGTGAACCAGACAGGGAGCAACCCCATATGCAACCAGTGCTGGAGGCCTGGTGTCTGCAGGTCTGCAGGCTGGTGTCCTGACCCAGATGCTCTGCCCAAGGCCAGAGTCCTTCTCAAAGCTGCACAGGCCCCAGAGTCAGCACTCATTTGGAGGATAGAGCCACAGACACTTTTGAGTCACCCACTGCGCTTATGGGAAGACTGAGGACAGGGAGGGCAGTGATCCCGAATGCCCATCCAGCAAGCAGCACAGCAGTCAGGAACCTGGGTTCTGCTTGAGGGAACTGCACCCTTTGCCTATGTTCCCTGGACTAAATCACAGATTAGAATCAGCAGGCATGCTTGTTAAAAACTTTGTTAGGCCCTTGCCCAGACCTACAGAATCAATTTTTGCTAAATCAGAACTGGGGACAGGGCCAGGCAAGCATTAACACACCTTCCAGGTGAACCTGCTGTTCCTATGGAGTGCAGACTCCTGGGAGACTGGTCAGGCCCATGCTCTGAGGCCAACCTGCTCTCGCCTCCCTTTACACCCCCTACCCCACCCTCTCCAGCAGCTCCCATTGGAGCCCAGTGGTATCCCAGGACACTTACCTCCCCGTTGAGGAAGCAGTAGAGGATAGCCACCACCAGCCCCTGCCAGAGGGAGCAGGGGTTAGTGCAGGCTCACCATTCATCTTGGGCAGCTGGACCTGGAGCTCACTGCTCTGACCTCTCCTGCCCAAGTCCCCTGATCACCAGCTCCAGACTTTCGTCCCCGCCTCTCTCACCTTAGAGAATTACCTCTTCAGGACCTCCACAGTGCCCTGGTTGTGTCTGTGCCACCCAGCATGGACTGTGAGTCCCTTTCATCTGCTGTTCCCAAGGCCTACCAGGACTTCAAACATGTAGAGTCAGTGAGAGTAAGGTAAGGACAGCAGAGCTGGAAGTACCTGAAGCTTGTTTCCACCCTACTGGGAAAGGCCAGAGCCAGCCCAGTGGGAGACCCACTTTGAAGATAAGCTAGAAATCGGAGACACTGAAACATGCACAGTTCATCCACGCTGAAGAACAAATGTGTGGTCAGAATGTCCAGGCACAGACCAGCGAGAGCTCGGTGCAGGGACAGGTGGGCACATCTCCATGGTCAGGGCTTAAGGTCCTCTGATTTAGTGAGATTGATGTCACCTCCACCTGCCCTTTTTTGGCAGGCTGCCCTTCTGGTGATCACTGTCCCCACAGGGGCCTGTGCACACAGCTGTAACCTTGGGTGACCTGGCTTTTCTTTCCTAGTCCCACCCAGATCTGGCCTTATGTATTTACTGCTTTGGAAAGGACCCCAAAAACAAAGAATCATCCCTTCACCCTGCTGCTCAGGGATATTGGCCTTTTCCCCTCAGGGATTGAACTCAGTGTCTCACCATGCTAAGCACACTGTCTACCACTGAGCTAACACCTAGGCCTGGATATTGGCATTTTAGTAAGTTAGTGACAAAACTAAAAGCATTTACATTAGAATTCCAGTGTCAGTGACTGCAGCATAGAAGGGCAACTCTCTACAGGGCAGGCGTGCTTGGGCTGTGGTTTTTGTGTTGCTGCACATTCCACTCACTGGGGAGCTTTTGCCCCAGGTTGAACTCGGTACCCCACACCTGAAGGTCTGATGTGGGGAGATGAGCCGCTTTTAAAGGTCCCCAGAAGGCTGGAGTGGGCTTCACCCTCAGGGAACCGCTGTCAGAGTAAACGACACTTAAAGGCTTTGGATCTGCAACGTAGCTTGGCCCCAGTCATTGTGGCCCCCTAGATTCCTTCATTCCATTCTGCTTAAAGCCCTTGGTAGAAAATGGGAGGGAAGAGATGCCCTGAAATGTACAGGTGAGGAAACTGAGTCACAGAAGGTTCCAGCAGGACTGAAGTTGTGTATGCTCGGCCCAGACCTAACGGTTAGGCTGGACCCAGCTTGCCCAGATCTCCCTCCCTGGGATCTGAGGACACACCTTCACTGTCCAGGGAGGCAGGAACCCAGGGTGAGGAAGTTAGCTGTGCCCCAAGCATGTGCAGCCGCAGACCTCATAAAAGTCAGCAAGTTCACTGTATTCCACAGTTATCATGTGATTAGTAAAAATGAAGACTTTTGCAGAATTTTAATGACAGGAAGAAATATTCAATACAGGCATGATAGAGGACTGAAGCACACAGGACACAAAACTATACACATTACGATCCTAATTATATGTATGTGTGTGTGTGTGTGTGTGTGTGTGTGTGTGTGTGTGTGTATCTTCCTCAATAGAAATTGTGTCTGGATTATGAGATTATAGATGATTCTTTTCTTTTTTCATTTAGTACTGGGGATCTACCCTAGAGCCTTATAAATATTAAGCAAGTGCTCTACCACTGAGAGTGACGCCCCAGCCATTTTTAAAATTTTCTGTTTTACTTTTCCTTATTTTTGTATCATAAGCAAATATTATTCGTACAATCAGAGAGATGTAGTTTTTAAAAGTGTTTGACAGTGATAATGATATTGTGGACTATGTGCTCTTTTAAGTCCTTATCATTTAGAAATATACACTAAAATGCTTACAGATGGAATAATACGGTGTCTTGGATTTACATTAAAAGATGGGGGTGGTGGGCAGAGATAGAGATGAAACAAGGTAGGCCATCAGTGCATACTGCTGAAGCTGAGGAACAGTGACACATGGGTTCATTCTATTCCCTTTACTTTTGGATATATGGAAGAAATTTTCATATATGTATATATGTACATATATATGTATTTATATATGTGCTCATATACATAAGCACATATATACTATACATACACATACAAAATCTTTTAATGATCTTTTTTCCTTCATAATGGTCCTACGGTACCACTTAGTGCTTTAGGTTGTCTCTTGTCAGTTGCCCAGACAGAAGCCAAATGTCCTTCTCCTAAGGAGTCTACAGCCCAAAGCACAAACCTTGATCTGGAGGACAAGAAGTCCCGTGCATGTGCCAAGCAGATCTGAGTCTCTGACCTCTCTACGTGGTCACTACCCAGTTGTGTGAGCTGGTCAAGTCTTTTCCCCTGCCCAGGCCTTAAAGTCCCCAGTTGTCAAATGGGCCATGATGAATCCAGCCACCAGGGACATACAAACACGATGGCTGGGAAAGCTCCCTGCCCAAGAAGAGAAGAACTGTGGCTTATACGCACAAGAGAGTGGATTCTCAGAAGATTAGGGCAGTGGTGGGGCTGTTGGCAAAGGAGCTGCTCAGAGGAGAGCAGAGGGGACTGCTCTCCTGGGGTGTGGTCAGAGTCTGCTCAATGCTATGAGCCCAGGGATGCTCTTGGAACCTATAAGTGGTAGCAGGGTCCTGGCTGGGCTACCTACACAGAACCCTAAAAATGAGGGGTGTGCCAAGCCCCACCCAAATGCCT